TAACTTTAAACCTTAAACAATGCTATCAGCGACTTCATTTTATACTTTAAACTTTAGTATAATTAACTTCTTCACTCGCTCATCGGAGTGAAGACTCTCCCGACCTCCTTCAAAATCTCTTCCAGTCAGACAGCCCTAACAATTAACAAAAGCTTACTACCTTGTTTGTTGATTTGCCAGGGGTGTCACCGAGAATAATTGCCCGCATCCTCCACCAAACTGTTAGGGGTTAACAGTTAAAGGACCCAGAACCAGATATGAAGAATGAAGACCCGGAGTCGGACTTATAAAAATTAAAGAAAGTTTTACTGAACATAGTTTGCCATTTCATCAGCAGAAGTCAGCTTCAAGACTCACTCAGGAGTTCGTAGGCCGCCCGCTTACAGTTACAAAGATCACAGCAGTTATACCATTTTCAAGGTCTAAGCTACGTCATTGCTTACACGTTGAATGATTCTCATTGGCTACGATATAGATAAACACAGTAATTTTCCACACATATACAGATAGACGAAACATATCTCCATCGATGAGGCACGTCATGACCTTCCAGGTCACAGATTTGGGTTGCTGGCGCCAGTGTGTCCAGAACAACAACTCATTCAATCTCCAATAATGGCAGTGGTTCCTTAACCTGCAACTAAGAAGACTAACACTAAACTTTAGTCTAACTGGAGTAAGACTTTAACAAAGAAATAGTGCCTTAAACTGTTGGCTTCAATGACCCCTTTATGTTTTAACACTCAAACATAAACCAAATCCCTATTTCCCTATTATTTTCACTGTTACTGCATTCACATAGGACACTAGCAAATAGGAGCTCCCATCAAGGCTGAAGAGAGTCTGAGCGGCTTATTATCAGTTAAGTGTACCAAAACATAATGGTAAAACATTCACTCGTTTGGGAGAAAAACAGATAACATTTGCTTCTCAGAAAGCAAATATAATAGAAAGAATACAGTTTAATATAACAATTAAAGTTCAATAAAGCAATGCTCAATATAGCTTGACCATCTGTACAGAGAAGTATCATATGTGTTGGACATATGTGTTCACGACGCCTTTATGATCCATAAACCTTTCTCCTGAGACCAGAGAAAGAGACAAATGGCCTTGTGCACCTAAAAGAAGCTGGTGACTTGTGCATGTACATCAGCATGCATTTAAGAATATTATTTCACAAGCAAAAGCACAAAGAATACATTTATGTCAATAAATGATTAAGTAACAATAAACATACTTAATTATTGATTTTATAAAAGAAATACATAATCATTCAAAATTATATTATGAAATATATACTGAAGAGGCAAGGGATTTTGACCACCCCTTCACTGTCGAGCCCCACTGTTGCGTTAAAGCAGTTTCAGTGGCAACTGTTCCGTATACCGCAAAACCCAATATCTGCCCAAATACAGTACTATTAAGATTACCATCCCTAGAATGAAAATTGGACCAAAAATTGTTTAATTTGTGTGTATAGTTTGGATCGAGTGCACTGTAGTAAAAGAATGCATGTGTGCGCAGGTGCATAGTCTTTCTTTACAAAATGACTTCGCCAACTACTTGTCTAGCATGCACAACACAGCGGTATTAGTAGTTTTCGCGGATCTGTGTGAACATGGATCGTTTTGATAACATTGTCATCTGTACAAAGAAAAAATGTTTCTGTTTTTAGCACATCATTTTCATGTAAACGGGTAAAAGGGTATGTTTACACGACCGTGATGTACTAAAAACAGATGACAACATTGTAAAAACAGAACACAGATCTGGAAAAAATAACTAAAAAGGCTGTATTATGCATGCCAGGTCAGTATCTGGTGATGTCACTTTGTCAGGAAACTTACATAACATAATTTTTTGCCGAAAATGGAAAACCTTTTATGCATTTTAGCTGTTATTTACATCACAACGGTTTGGAGCCTGAAAAACGCAAGCTTTTTAAAATGGGTTTCAAAGTGCAAGGTATTCAACCATGCATCCTCTGCTCTGCAATGATTTTTTAGATGTGCTTTGTGTTAAGAGCTTCAAGTAATGAACCGTTTTCGGCACAAATTTGATCAAAGCCTCAAACACTTCAGGAAGCCTCAGTTTCCCATCATTAGAAGCAAGACAATGACATGTACTCTTCTATAGCAAACTATCTCCATATGAAGAGTTCAGATGCAAAAGCCTCTAAATGACATTTGAAATTTTCTTCTTTAATGATGATTTGTATCAAACTAGTATATTTAAGTTAAGTAATTTCACTTAAATAGCAATTAATAGGTTATTATCATTGCCATTTAAGTGAAATCACTGAACTTAAATATACAAGCTTGATAAAAATGATCATTCTAGAAGAAAATTTCAAATGGCATTTAGAGGCTTTTGCATCTGAACTCTTCATATACTGTCCCACAATACAAGCTGGCCAAGACATGACGTAAGAGAACACAATAAGTACGGGGAAGCCCACAAAGACCAGGTGAGAACAATTAGCGAAATGAGTAGGAGAGAAAGACTAAACAAGGGGGTGTGGTAAAGGGAAACATAGAGGCAGAACAAGGGGCCAACATAAACAAAGGCAAAGCCATGCTTTTCTGAAGATTAAGCATACTACTATAGAACTTCATGTAATCGCCTAAATTGCATTTGGTCTTAATGAAAACTGTCCACACAACTGCCTTTATTTGTACTGTCTTTATTTTGGAGAAAATATCACAGAATCAAGGGTCAATGTTATATGGAAGTCTGATCTAACGCTTAACATTTTTGAGATAACATTCATCCATCCAGCTATTTATTTTTAATTTGCACTCAAGATGTTGAACTTTGCCACTTCACTTCTGTGTATTTGTGTTTTGTGTTGTGGCTCATTTCAGGTTTTTATATTTGACAAATATTTTTAAAAAGTATAGATATTTTTTCATTTCCCCATATTTCATTTCAATGTGAGGGCTCGAGAGACCCCGAACATCCTGAGGGGGACTTTTTTCCCCCACACTATCATACAACCAGATATCATTCCAATAAATTTTGTTTGTTGAGATAGCAAGTGTCAACCAGAACATCAAGTCTCATGCCTTTTTTATTAACTTTATTAACTTTTTATTGCATCCAACTTGGATTGCATCTTGTTATACATTTTAAAGTCATTATCCGCGACTCTCCGAATATGGCTTTGGGCATTACCACAAGATTCGCTCAATTTTGAAGTTTATATCTTGCAGCAAATATTTATCGTTGTTTATTCATTGCCTCCACATTTTGAAACGGAAGATGAAACACGGCATCTGAATGTTTAAGAGTTACTCTTGACATCAGCATCATTACAGCCATGTCCATCTGCGTCAACTATATTCCTTCCAATCATTACAGAGCTGAAATCAGTCGGGTGGACACCTCATTCCTCCCTTTGTTGACCTACTTATCTGACCCCAGCCTTTGAAAACTGGGCTCTTCCCTGGAAATGCTTGTCCACTATTGTAACTTTGTCAGTCCCAGAGTCTGAAGAGAGAGTGAGGGGAAGGAAAGGGATTTTGTGCTAAAGGTAGTGCCTTATTTGATGACCTTAGAAAGCTTTCATCAGCTATCGGGCTTGACAGACCAAGACAAAGCTCTATGACTCATGTTCTATAAGGTTAACTGCAGGACAAAGTAGGCAAACCCAAAAAACCTTAGTTGAGTATGTTCACTCATTGGACACTATTGCACATATTTTCAGATAGATTTACACTGACACCTAATAAACTTTCCTTCAGTTTGTTGCTTTTATTGCTTTTAGACTACAAGCAATAAGCTTCTTTTTAGTGATTTTGGGGTTGATTGCCACGATATTGTGTTTCCCTCAGGGTCCCCAGCAATTGAATCTCAGGCCCAGGAATCTTTTCCCTTTATGTTTGACTTAAAAAACTGAGTTTTTGTGAGGACATGTAGTCTACAGAGAAAGCCTTTAGGAGATGGACATGCTCTGACATGTCATTACATATTATCAGAAGAATTTCAGTAGAGAAGTAGAGAAGAAATGCACATTAACAGTAGCTAACTAATATTTTGAACACTAACAGACTGGGTATATCATGATAGATAAACTCAGTAGATCAACTCAGTGATGTACTAATGCTTTTATCCAATTAAGTCCACTAATGCACACTGTACAAGCAGTGTACGGTTTCTATGCAAGCCCTATTCTGCTTACACATTCCTCAGACACCTTGAAAGGGTGCTCCTCTGGACCTACTCTATCAGTTGAGCAAATGATGCATAAAAAATTCTTTACATTCTCTTTACAAGCCTGTTGTCTTTTACCAACCGAGTAGCATTGGTATTTTCGTAGGAATCATCAAATAGGACAGATTTGTATTTGAAACAGGACAGATTAGTATTTGAAACATGGCAAATAATATCACAATCACCCCTTAAAGTCTATTTTAAATCAGGTACAAAGGTACATGTAGTTTATTAGTAATCAGATGTATAATGACATTGTAACAAGTACACCTTAAAATAAAGTGTAAGCAATATATACCACAATCTCCAGTGACCAGCCCAGTCTCCAGCACGACATTTCCCAGAATCCCTCTTGGCTCCCGCCTGCACACACTCCATCAACCGCACCTGTCACCAATTACTCACCTCATCAGCTCCTCATAAAAGCACCTTGGCCTCAGCATTTGTCTGGCCTCGGACAAGGAAATACTCACATACCTGCTGTCTGCTGATCCCAGTGACTGCCTTGAAGATTTCCCTGAAACTATTCCTTGTTCTCCCTGTTTGTTCTGTGGATATCTACCTTCCGTACTGAGCTGTTTCGCCAGCCATCCATTGAGGTGTGTGTGCTTTGGTCTTCCCGTCATCATCCATCTAACCTGTTAGAGAAAGAGACTGTTAATATCATCATTCTCCATATTCAAGTCATTACTACTCACTTGTTCACCCTGTATTGGCCGTTTTGCATTTGCCTACAATACAGTGTTGTCTGCACTTTACAGTAAAAAAAAAAAAAAAACAACAACAGCTGTGGTTGCCAGAAATTGACTGTACAAAATACAGTAGCAACATTTTGTTTTACACATGTAACTTACTGTAAAGGTGCTGTAGGACATCTAGGGAAACGCTAACTTTAACCTGACAGCAGGAAAAGCGTATATCCTACCCTCCCTGCAAATCGTCGTCCAAAGCCACGTCTCCTGAAGCATGAGGCATTGGCCTCGCTCAGTCAAGAAGACCGGAGACAATGTAACTGCAATATCATGTGTCATACACCGGTGAGAAAACTTTATAGTGTTACAGTTAGAAACACTACAATACCAAACATAAACAAATTCTTAAAAAAAAAAAAAAAAAACAGAATTATATGCATCAAGGTTGCGGTTTGTTTAGCTAGCAAAACTTGTCAGTGTGTAATAATATTTCTCGCATGACAGGGTTTCCACGATAAGAGTCTGCTTGGTTCTGATGAAGATATATACACTCACCAAAAGGATTATTAGGAACACTGTTTGACCCCCTTTCACCTTCAGAACTGCCTTAATTCTATGTGGCATTGATTCAACAAGGTGCTGAAAGTATTCTTTAGAAATGTTGGCCCATATTGATAGGATAGCATTCTGTAGTTGATGGAGATTTGTAGGATGCACATCCAGGGCACGAAGCTCCTGTTCCACCACATCCCAAAGATGCTCTATGGGCTATATGCACGCATAAATTCCGCATTTGACGTAAGGATGCTCGTCCATTTCCGGTTGTGGAGATTAAAGCGGAGGAAAACCGAGGAAAACGGGATTATGGCAGAGTCTTCAATATTTACTGTCCTCCAGTCTTTGAAATGAAACGTACATACGTTTAGATGTAATTTTATATATAGTTATACAGTATTTATTTAATATAATTTTAAAAAGAAGCATAAACACAACGAGGGGTGTCTGTTTTATCTGTTTTTGTGACTAACGTTTCTTTAGTATAACCATGGAGTATAAAATTCAATATAAATTCTCGGTATTGCATTGGACTCTACGATCGGCGGAAGTTATCGAGCATCCCTAATGCTTCACCGGAAATACCGCCGTGAATAGAGCCCATTGGATTAAGATCTGGTGACTGTGGGGGCAATTTTAGTACAGTGAACTCATTGTCATGTTCAAGAAACCAATTTGAAATGATTCGAGCTTTGTGACATGGTGCATTATCCTGCTTGGAAGTAGCCATCAAAGGATGGGTACATGGTGGCCATAAAGGGATGGACATGGTCAGAAACAATGCTCAGGTAGGCCGTGGCATTTAAACGATGCCCAATTGGCACTAAGGGGCCTAAAGTGTGCCAAGAAAACATCCCCCACACCACCACCAGCCTGCACAGTGGTAACAAGGCATGATGGATCCATCAACTGCCATGTAATTGGTTAATTAGATAATTGCATTAATGAGAAGAAATTGAACAGGTGTTCCTAATAATCCTTTCGGTGAGTGTAGAGATCATTTGCCAGTGCCACTTACTGTTGGTTCAGAAGGAAAGTTAGGTTGTTGTTGCTTGCCTGCCATTCTCGCTCTGTCTGCACAGCATACGTGGACGCACTGATGACTTATGTCTGCGTTAACAGCCTGCGCAGTGGTGTGCAAACACAACGTTTTGAACGAACGTCCGAACACAACGATTGAACGAACATTAGGTCCAACGCCTTCCACAGAGGACATAATATAAAAATACATTTAGACCATTTAACAGAGTGATTGCTATCAGGATATGAGGAGACTTTCAACCAGCATAACAAAAAAATGTGTCTGCAGAGAATCACCTACGGCACCTTTAAATTCACAGTAAAAAATGTACTTCCTTAACTGATATAATGTTAATTTATCAACCTATTGAAGTACTAATATCTGTTTTGTATCTTTGTAATACACTGACAACCACCAAACGGAGTCGTGAAGAGTCACTTGATGATTCAACTCAACACTGGCAGCTTTTTCCACAAACAGAGAATGTTGATATTAATATATACTGTTGATGTTGTGCAGTGTCATTCACACAAACGCTAAACACTATCATGGCAACATGCATACATTTTTAAAAACACATTAAACAATTAATAAATGACTTGATCTTTTTTACTTCCAAAAACTTTTACTGTAAAATTACATTAAATGTGAGGTTGGTTAGATCTATTACAGTTATATATAGTACAGAAACTTTAACCAACTAACTGTTTTTCACCGTAGCATTTTTACAGTCTTTTACCATTAAAGTCACAAACATTTTTTACAGTGTGGATTCACTGCCATCTGCCTAATGGGTATTTCCTGACAATATATTCATACTCTTTGAGCAAAATGTAATAACTTTCTCCACCTCTAATGACTTTTCCTTTTGGGTTTTGTCACCAGTCTCTAATTTTTCTAACCTCTCCACTCACTTGGCTCTATTATGATACTCTCACCCTCTATGATACAATGTTTTGTTTGTTTGTTTGTTTGTTTGTTTGTTTTTTACACATTCTGGCTATTACAGATAAGTCAATGATACAATTCGAACTATTTTAAATAAAACACTAAATCCTAAAATCAATTGTTTTAAATACAAGTCGATCTAAGCATCACTGTTATAATGAAAAGTATAAGAAAAATATACTAATTAAAGTGTAATATTGACCCATAAACACAGTGGTTCATGTGTGTATTTCTAATAAATGCATACAATGAAAGTAAAATAGGCTGTGAATTCTGTTAATGACTTTAAATGTGAAATTTCTTAGCCACTAGGGGCATCAAACAGAATTGCTGTTTCCTGACCAACCAGAAGTTGACATGTTGGACCACTGAAACAACCAACCATTTCACTTCTGTAATATGACGTGTTTCAAAGTGAAACAGGATATTCAATGAGGAAAAAACATGTAGGGCGAAACTTGAATTTATCCATCTGGAATTGATCATAAAAAGTGGTCTCTGTGTGACAGGGGGTTGGAGGTGGAGGAGTTGAATAACAAGAGAGCTTGGTGACATCAGCCAAAAAAGAAAGTCATTTTAGCGCCAGATCAAGTTGTTATACTTTGATTAAGGATTACAGAGACAAACCTTTTTTCCTTTGGAATCTCATGCATCAATAAATCGCTCACAATAAGAGCAATAAGACCCACTTTCTGAAGATGAGAGTAAATAAGGATTTGATTTCACATTGACTTTAAATGTGTGGTTTAAATCCTCTTGTTTATGTTAGGGTGTGATGGTGCCCTCAGATGATTCAAAGAAAATAAACACTAGAGGGTGTCTCTGTAGTTGTCTGAGGTTGCCCTGCTCCACAGATGCAGTGTCAGGCTCCACATCCCAAACCACTAATGATGCCAAAAAATCCTGAAAATACCACAGGGCCCCGAAAAGGTTGGCAGGGGAGTCTGACTTGATGTGTTAATGTTAAATGGATGGTGTCAATGATCACCAGCCGGAGTGCAATTGATATCCACTAGAGGGCACTCCCCCCTGGACCATTGTCATTCTATCAATAACTGCATTTCCTATAATCCATTGCCTGTGATTGCATTCAGTTACTTTTCATTACCTTGTTTATTAACCATATACAGTATAACCCTGGTTTGTTCAGTCTCTCATTGCAAAACTTACCCGGTTTTGCTACACTGCAATTCTGAGCATGCTGTCTTTAGTTGTCCGTGTTTATGGCCTGGTTTCTCGGATTTTCCCATTTACCCTGTGTTTCCTTTCCTCTGATTGTTTGGATCGTTTGCCCCGTAGTTCTGACCCTAACCTGTATTTTGGATTACCCTTAAATAAAGATGCATTTGGATCCCCACCCGTATGTGATAGATGGAATTTAAATACACACAAAGAGTAAAGGAATACATTTATGAGATGAACCCCACAACCCAGTTCCCGGACTAACTGTCATTTATTTACTTACTGCTGGTATTCACAAGGGTTGGATAGGTTAAAGTAAGATGGCAGGAAGATAATGCTGATTCATTCTGTTGTAGGGTCTGTACTTATGCAGAGAGAGGGAGGCCATTGGATTGAACTTCACACTAAGTGAGTGCATATGTTGTAAGTAAACATATTCTTACACTACATCATTGTAAAATGAAGGATTAGTCATGCTGAGGTGTTGGTTTCTTTGCAATAACATGGGTTAATTGAGTGTTTTTCCTCACAAATTCAGTTAAATCAAAGGGTCCCACTTAAATTGAATTTAAAGGGTTAGTTCACCCAAAAATGAAAATTAAGTCATTAATTACTCACCCCCATGCTGTTCCAACCCTGCAAGACCTTCGTTCATCTTCGGAACACAGATTAAGATATTTTTGATTAAATTTGAGAGGTGGATCACTGCTACATAGGCTCCTAAGGGATTGAAACTTGACAGCCCAGAAAGTCATTGAAGAAAATGTTTAAATATTCCATGTGACTACAGTGGCTCAACTATATGTTTATCAAGCGACGAGAATACTTTTTGTGCGAAAAAACAAACAAAAATAACGACTTTATTCGACTATTCCTTTTCTTCCTTGTAGGCCTGAGATGCGAGTTCAAGAGATTTCCACGATGCATGCATGAGAACTGCGACCTTTTTCTACTACTTCTTGTTCAGTTCTCGCACATGCGTCTTGAAAATCTCTTGAACTCTCGTCTTGAGCCTACAAGGAAGACTTATAGTAATAAACTTATAGTTGAGCCACTGTAGGCACATGGAATATTTAAACATTTTCTTCAATGACTTTCTGGGCCGTCAAGTTTCAATCCCTTAGGAGCCAATGTAGCAGTGATCCACCTCTCAAATTTAATCAAAAATATCTTCATTTGTGTTCTGAAGATGAACGAAGGTCTTACGGGGTTGGTACAGCATGGGGGTGAGTAATTAATGACTTAATTTTCATTTTTGGGTGAACTAACCCTTTAAATATGCACTAACATTTAAATGGGGCGGCAGTGGCTCAGTGGTTCATGTAGATTGTCTACAAACCGAAAGGTTGGTGGTTCAATCCTCGGTTCCACTTGACCAAGTGTCGAGGTGTCCATGAG